AAATGCCCCCATCAACATGTAAACATGTATTCTATTTCTTTTCTTTTCTTTTTTTTTTAGGATTTTATTTATTTGACAGAGAGACACAGCAAGAGAGGGAACAAAAGCAAGGGGACTGGGAGAGGGAGAAGCAGGCTTCCCGCGGAGCAGGGAGCCCAATGCGGGGCTCGATCCCAGGACCCTGGGATCATGACCTGAGCCAAAGGCAGACGCTTAACGACTGAGCCACCCAGGCGCCCCACATGTATTCTATTTCTTAGTGTGAGCCCTCCTGAAGGCTCTCTGGTCAGCTCCTGCCATCAGGTTAAGACCTCTGTGGTGAAGCAACAACAAAGTGCTGCCACAGTGCGGGTGTGTAGGGCCAGGGGCTGCTGGCCTGGTGCTCAGAGTATGACTGAACTCAAGGGCTTTGCTGTTTGGTGTGCATTAAATTGAACACAACCCAAGTAAGTTGAAAACAAAGACCTTTTTATTACTTGTTACAAGTAAGGACGGGAAGATAGCTCTCAAAGTACTGTCTTCCTGTGGGGTTAGTACAAGAAGCTTTAACTCAGTGTATTGGGGGGCAGGAGCAGGGAACTTGTATATATATTAAGAAACAGAGATATTCTATGCTTAGGCACTTTGGTTCAACTGAGCATGCCTAGCATGTCAACATGCCAGTGCATACATTGTATGTTCAAAAATGGCAGAAAACTCAGCCCATGGGAGGAGATCTTAGTATTATAATGAGCTAAAGTTAACTTTAGGACAACTCCGGGGGGGCTTCTTTGGCAGGTCCTCAGCTCCAAACTAGCCTAAACTGGCTCACATAAGAGGCTATCTGGTGAACCGCCTGGCTGGGGAGTCTCCTTGGCTGGCCACTGGTTCTGCAAGACAAAACACATTGCTTCCCAGCTTTTGTTCCTTCATTCTCTTCCCTTCTGCTGATGGCTTTCAGCCCTCAGATCTGAGTAACTCCCCTTTGTGTCCTAGCCAACAAGAGGATGGGATTTGTGTCCCTGAAGTAGAGGACTTGACGTGGCCCAGTGCTTCTCAGGTGAAGAGCTGATCTGAGGAACATTCTGAAGTGGTCTGCAGCATTAGAATCGAGGTATGTTCTTGTATTAACTTGGTTTCATCCTATTTTATATGCCACAGCTTATAAGCTTTTGCAATACTAGAAAGCAAACATTTTAAAGCTGTTAGATATTGTAGAGATATGGCTCAACTTTTTTTTTTAATAGTTTGAAACTTATAGGAAAGTGGAAAATACAGCATAAAGAGTTCCTATATACCCTTCACCCAGTTTCTTCAATTGTAACATTTAAACTCATTTTGCCTTTTTCTGTTTTGTCTCCTTCTCATACATACATACATTTTCTGAGCCATTTGAGAATACGTTAGAGATATGATGGCGCATTACCCTTTAATACCTTAGTATTTCCTAAAAGCAAGGAAATTCTTCTATATAATTATAGTATAACCCTCAAAATTAGGAAAATTACCATGTAATCAAAAGATCCCATTCAAATTTTGCCAACTGTTCCAATCATTCCCTTTTAGGCCCAGATTCCAGCCCAGGATCACACACACATTTGTTTTCATGTCTGTTTTGTACCCTCTTCAATCTAAACATTTCCTCAGACCTGTTTTTCATGGCCTTTCCATTTTGAAGAGTATAGGATGTCCCTCGATTTCAGTTTATAACTTTTACGTAAATGAAATCACTCAAACAATCAACAAAAATGTTCCTTCTATGTGGATGTATATATTGTTATTTTAACAATTGTATAGTATTCTGTGTATGAAAGGGCTATATTTAACCAGCCCCCTGTTAAAGAACACAGCTTATTCCTAGTTTTCCACAGTGTAAATAAATCACACTGCAATTAGTAGCTCTGAGCAATTTATCTGATTTCTCTGAAGTGGAATTGCTGGGTTAGAGTATGCAGATTTAAAGTTTTGACACTATTGCCAGATACTCATCCTGAGAGATTATACTTATTTATAACTCCACCAATGATGCACGAGAATGACTTGTCCCCACACCAACATCAGCACTGGACATTTTCACTCTTTTTCATCTTGGCCAGTCAGGCAAATAATAATAATAATTTCTTTGATTATTAATGAGGCTGAGCACCCTTCATGCTTGTTTTGTCTGTTTTACTTTATTTTACAAATGACCTTTGCCTGTTTTTCTGTTGGGCAGTTTCTGATTTTAAACTAATTTGTCAACTCATTCCTTGGCATTTAAGCCTTAAGTAGAGACACATCATGCATTTGAGAGCTTTGTTTCAATCTCTGTGGAAATTATTCTAATTATTACATGAAATCCAGTTTCCTGAGTAACATGTCAAGAATTAGCCACAACAGGGTAACCGAACACCTACAGGTCAACTCAGCCCCACACAGCACTCTGGGGCACAGCTGCAGGAACAGGGGATGGGGGAGGGGGAGAAGCAGTAAAGGGCAGAGAACAATTAACACCCAGACTATACTTCTCTCCACTCAATGTCTCTAGGTGAACGTTTCAGTATCATTCTGGGTCAAGGTAGAGCAGTTTCCCACAATTTACTAGTTCTTATTCATTCCTTCCCCCCAAAATACTTCACATGGAAGAATAAATGCAATAGATGTTCATCTAAAGATAGGTCTTAATTATTGAACTTTAAATGCTATTAAAAGCCATCACTTATATTAGGTAAAGGCACCCCATTTTCAGGTTCTTACTGTAGGTTGCTAAGGTAAGTCTGAAGCTGGGAAAAACTGCTTCAGCTAATGTCACCTTCCTCCTTTCTCCTGAATTGCACAACTTACAGAAATAGCAAAGAATCTGCAAATGTTTGTATGAGCCTACAAACGGTGCAAAGCCCAAATCTCAACTGATATAATGAAACGTGTCCACGAGGAAATGCACAATGTCTACTACGTCTAGAGGGAAGAGTCCTGTCAAAAAAGTAAATCAGAAACAAATACATTCAATTCTCATTTTTTAAAATATTTTATTTATTTATTTGACAGAGAGAGAGAGAGCAGGAACACAAGCAGGGGGAGTGGGAGAGGGAGAAGCAGGCTTCCCGCCGAGCAGGGAGCCTGATGTGGGGCTCGATCCCAGGACCCTGGGATCATGACCTGAGCTGAAGGCAAGACGCTCAATGGCTGAGCCACCCAGGTGCCCCAATTCTCATTTTTTGATCAACCAAATCCGTCAGTTAACCACTTATAGCACAGTTGGTGAAAGCCAAGGATAACGCTGCTCTGACCAACAGAAGACAAATATAACATGCTCTTAAGGAACATGCACTCTAGGGGCGCCTGGGTGACTCAGTGGTTAAGCATCTGCCTTCAGCTCAGGTCATGATCCCAGGGTGCTGGGATTGAGCCCCGCATCGGGCTCCCGGAAGCCTGCTTCTCCCTCTTCCACTCCCCCTGCTTGTGTTCCCTCTCTAGCTGTGTTTCTCTCTGTCAAATAAATAAATAAAATCTTTAAAAAAAAAAAAAAAAGGAACATGCACTCTAGCCAGGGAAGACAGACAAGATTAAAACATTAAGGGACCATCCCTGAGAATGCGAAGTAGAATACACATTATAAGTGCGGCAACATTTCAGAGATGGGCAAAATCACTGCTCACGGGTACAGGGGCTTGGGATCGTTAGGGTAGTTAGAAAGGCTTAATGGAACAGTGGCATTTGAGTCGGGCCTGAAGGGATGGTAAGATTTGCATTTGGGGGGGGAAGGTGGTGGGTATGGTGGCCCAGGGACCACGAGGCACAGAAGTGGCAGTTGGCAAGTTGCTTGGTGAAGGACACGTGAAAATGTGCATTGGTTTAGGAGCACTGAGGACACAAGGCTGCCCCACAGATGCTGTGGCCGGCGGGGGGTCACTGGCGGCTGCTGAGGGACTGGTGTGTTGTAATGTTCTAGCCCATGCCAAGCCATATTGGAGCCTGAGGGAAGAGGAAACCTCAGTAATACCGATCCTGTCTTTACTTAAAATTTTGATATTTTGTGCATTATTTTTTGCATTAATTTTGATTTTTAAAAAATACTGCATTAAAATATCATTTATTTTGATGATTGCATTTTTTTCGTATCCCCTTAAATTTTTTGCTCAAGGCAAGTACGCTTACCTCACCCTCCTCCCAGCCCTGTGTTCTATTTCTGAAGATCAGGAGTGGGGAAATGGGTATTCATTTTATTATTATAAGCTACAGCTTACTCATGTTACAAATATTCTGTGGCTAGTAAACAGTATTTAATAAAAACAATTAAGATAAATTAGGATTTTAAGAAGATTAATTAGGAACTTTGAAGCCCAAAAAGTATGACAGGAAAAAGAATTCTCTTTTGCTTCTGAGCCAGTCTTTAGGGGTGAGTAACTCTCTGTTGCTGCGGTGTATGCAGTACAAGCAGAAAAGGGTTGTTTTGCCCACGTCTAAGTGGGTGAAAGGTAACTGGGGGGGTTACCAGAGGCTGCTGTCCACTTGGAGACAGGCCTCGAGTAACTCAGCTGCTGTAGCCGGCCTGACTCTGCTGTGTGGCCTGAGGCAAGCTTCCACAAATGGGCCACACAAGGTGCGCTTGGCCCATATCTCACATAAACAGACCCATCCAGGGGCGCCTGGCTGGCTCAGTTGGTAGAGCATGCGACTCTTGATCTCAAGGGTGTGGTTCAAGCCCCATTGGGGGTAGAGTCTCCTAAAAACAACAACAACAAACCAACCAACCCATGCAGCTATGCTCAAAGAGAAGCTACTCACTGGGCCACAGCGTTTACCACAGCGCCACTGTCCAAGAAGCAGTGGAAGATTAATGAACTCTATAAATGTCACAGGGCTACTTGCATCTAGGAGAAGAAGTGGTGTTTGACACAAAGAGTATGACTAGTACCTCCAAAAATGTAAAACCTGAAGTCTATTTTCATTAGTAAGCTGGTGATCAATGAAGGATACTTTTTAGCCAGAGAAGTCAATTAGCATGCAGCACAGATCTCAGAAGAGGCCAAGGGCAAGGCTGAAAGGTGCAGGCCGCTTCCTGCACTCGCCCCGGGTGCACGGCACCATCATCGGATGTGGACCTCCCAGTCAGCGCTGATGTTCAGGGACAGCTTTTCCAGTCGCAGGGTGGACATTTGGGCACAATATGTAAAAGCCACAGGCTCATCTTTACCATCTAAATATCAAGACAAGAACAGGAAAAATTTGATGAATATCTAGGAGAGAAAAATCTTTCCTTTGAATCTAAAATATTTCTGACTCGATCATAAAACCTGATACCCCACCTGGGAGAATCCAATTTAATAGCACTTTTACCCATGGATGTCCATGAATTTTTTAAACATTAAACACTCCATCATTTTGAGTGCAAGATTGGTTGAAAGGAAATTGTAAGGAATAAAGTGATTTATCCAAGAAATTCAGTAGATAAGAAAGGATATAGGCTCTTTAAGAAACTCCATAAACATGGGTAGGATTCTCTGGGGCTTCAGATATCTACAGTCAAAAATACATTCAGAGAAGCTACAGTATTATTTCAAGCCCCAAATAATTTTCCTTAGAAAAATAGCAACAACTTACAGTTGGCAGAAAGCCCAGTTGATAAGGAAAAGCAGGATGGCCTTGCTCCCCCAGATATCAGTATATTTGACCTCCATCAGAAAGTGCAGGGTCCACTTGGCTAAGCATGTTACATCAGTTTTAGGACTAATCATTTCTTTGCTGCAGATACTTCCATGTTTACAAAAATAAATGACCTGTTTCCTCACCAGATGAACAGGTGGTCACAGAAGATGGCTGCTTCTTGAGGCCTAGGACAAAGATCTGCTCCACCACACACTTGCTGGGATAATGACCTCTTTCGTCGGCACAACTGGAATAGATAAAAATGGTATTAGGAAAATGAGAGGAATAGGGGTTTGGACTGGTTATTAGGTCAACATCCTAGCCTTGGGAGTTCCCCTCCCATCTTTCCCTATGGAGGCATGAAGCATACGGTTGTCATGTTTACTAGGATGAAGAGATGGAAACGAAGATTCCCTGTGCCAAGGACTGCCTAACCAGTAGACAAACCAGAATCTATTTAACAAGCCATTTGGAGAGAAATCACCTAAGGACACTGAAGTCTCAAATGTGACTTGGACACTGCAATCAGATTTTAAGAAATCAGATACTTAATGAATTGCTGAATGGGCAGATAAATGGGATTAATCAGAACTTAAACTGAATTATTTTTTATTTTTTAGAGAGTGAAGAACAGGAAGATGGAGACAGTAAGGAAGGAAGGTTCACAGAGTAATTGAAAAATACTTCAGAGAAACTCCAGACCAAGATGGCAACATAAGAGGCCCCTGAATTTCCTTCCTCCAACAGATGCACCAAATGTAAAGCTGTGGAGCAATTCCCTCTTAGTGATACAGAAACTAGCTGAGTGACTCTTATACATCAGGTGACTGAGGAAACAGCCACATCAAATCAGGTAGGAAAGGCTGAAACACGCTCACCGTGACCGCCACCCTGGGGACAGTGCCATACAATTAGGAGGGGAACTCCCAACTTCTCCCTGAAGAGTGAAAGGTTTGGACCACACTCCTACTGCCCCAGTGTTAAGGCCCCCACCTGAAGTATGGGCCCCCAAATCACCTATCAATAATTACTTTAAGTAATTTGAACTAAATCCTCCAATCAATAGAGACAGAGTTGCTGAATGGTTAAAAAGTCAAGACCCAACTATATGCTGCCTATAAGAGACCACTTCAGCTTTAAGGACACATACGGACTGAAAGTGAAGGGATGGAAAATGATATTCCATGCAAATGGAGACCAAAAAAAAGCAGGGGTAGCTAACATTTATATCAGACAAAATAGACTTTATGCCAGAAACTGTAATGAGAGACAACAAAGATAGTTATATAATGGGTCAATTCACTAAGAGGTTATATAACATTTGTAAATATTTATGCACCCAATATCAGAGCACCTAAATATATAAAGCAAATATTAGCAGATCTGAAGGTTGAAATAGATGGCAACACAGTAATAGCAGGGGACTTACACACCCCATTTTCAACAATGGATAGATCATCCAGACAGAAAATCAGTAAGGAAAATGTGAACTTAAACTACATGTTAGACCAGATAAACTTAATAGATATATATAGAACATTCAACAGCAGAAAAATACATATCGTTCTCAAGCACACATGGAACTTTCTCTAGGACAGACCATACATTAGACTAAAAACAAGTCTTACCAAATTTAAAAAGACTGAAATTATATTAAGCATCTTTTATGACCATAATGGTAGGTGAGTAGATATCAATTACAAGAAGAAAACTGGAAAATTCACAAATATATGGAGATTAAATAACATGCCCCTAAATAACCAATGGGTCAAACAAAAAATTAAGAGGGAAATAAAATATCTTAGATTAAAATGGAAACATAATATACCAAAATTTACAGGATGCAGCGAAAGCAATTCTAAGAGGGGAGTTTATAGCAATAAGTACCTATATTAAGAAAAAGAAAAATCTTAAATAAATAATCTACCTTTACACCTCGAGGAACTATAAAATGAAGAACAAACTAAGCCCAAAGTTAGTAGGAGGAAGGAAATAACAAAGATCAGAGTGAAAATAAATGGAACAGAGGCTAAAAAGATCAGTAGGAAAGATCAATGAAACTAAGAGCTAGTTTTAAAAAAAAATAAAATAGACAAATCTTTAGCTAGACTCACGAACAAAAAAAGAGAGAGGACTCAAATAAAATCAGAAACGTATCACTGTATGTTTACTATACTGGAATTTAAATAAATAAATAAAATCAGAAATGAAAGAGGAGATGTTATATTTGATACCTCAGAAATACTAAGGATCATAGGAAACTACTATGAACAATTACACACTAATATATTGGATAAAAAAGAAGAAATGGAAAAATTCCTAGAACATACAACCTACCAATACTGAATCATGAAGAAACAGAAAATCTGAACAGACCAATTACTAGTAAGGATACTGAATCTGTAAACAAAAAACTGCCGACAAAGAAAAGTCCAGGACCAGATGGCTTCACTGTTGAATTCTATCAAACATTTAAAGAATATCAATCTTTTTCACATTCTTCCAAAAAATGGAACACTTCCAAATTCATTTTATGAGGGCAGCATTATCCTGATACTAAAGCTAGCAAGGACAATACAAGAAAAGAAAATTACAGGCCAATATCCTTGAGGAACACAGATGTAGAATTCCTCAACAAAGGGCCACACACCATGATCAAGTGGGATTTATTTCTGGGATACAGAGATGTGTCAACATAGGCAAATCAATAAATGTGATACATTACATTAACAAAAAAGGATAAAAATAATATGATTATTTCAGTAGGTATAGGAAAAGCATTTGACAAAATTCAACATCCTTTCATGATAAAAACTCAAAAAACTGGGTATAGAAAGAATGTACCTCAGGGCGCCTGGATGGCTCAGTGGGTAAAGTGTCCAACTCTTGATTTTGGCTCAGGTCATGATCTCGGGGTCGTGAGATGGAGCCCCATATCAGGCTCCATGCTGAGTGTGGAGTCCACTTAAGATTCTCTCTCCCCCTCTCCCTCTGCCCCTTCCCACTCCAATGCTCGTGCTCTCTCTCAAAAAACTTAATAAAAGGGCGCCTGGGTGGCTCAGATGGTTGAGCGTCTGCCTTCGGCTCAGGTCATGATCCCAGGGTCCTGGGATCGAGTCCCGCATCGGGCTCCCTGCTCCTTGGAAGCCTGGTTCTCCCTCTGCTTCTCTCTCTCTCTCTCTCTCCCTCTGTCTCTCATGAATAAAAATAAAATAAAATAAAATTAAAAAAAAAAAACTTAATAAAAGCTGTCTATGACAAGCCCACAGCTAACATACTCAATGGGGAAAAGCTGAATCAAGATCAGAAACAAGAAAAGGATGCACACTTCTCACCATTTTTGTTTAACATAGTACTGGACATCTTAGCCAGAGCAATTAGGCAAGAAAAAGAAATAAAAGGCATCTAAATTGGAAAGGAAGAAATAAAATTGTTTGTATTTGCAAATGGAAATAGGGAGAGGCTGGTAAAAGGGTACAAACTTTCTGTTATAAGATGAATAAGGTCTGAGTATCTAATGTATAAGATGATGACCATAGTTGACAATACTATGTTGTATACCTGAAATTTGTCAACAGAGTAGAACTTAAATGTTCTCACACACACACAAAAGTAAATATGTGAGGTGATGGATGAGTTAATTCACTTGATGGTGGGAATCCTTTTACAGTATATACATATAGTGACTCACCATGTTGTACACTTTAAATACATTAGAATTTTGCTTGTCAATTATTTAGTGAAGCTGAAAAAAATACTCCATAAATGACCATCAATAATTTCTTTAAGTAGTACCTTAAAATAATAGCTGTGTTTTTGAGGATCGCATATTTAAGAAAGCACACAGCTTTTTACCTGTTGATCAAAACATCTGACAAGAATGAAAACTTCCTGTGCAAGAACTGCTTCTGGTGGAGGTATCGGAATGAATGGCCATCGTCGAGATAGAATTCACCCATGGCAGAATCCTGGAGAGTGAAACATAGACAGAGAATGTGCTTATATAATAGCTTACTAGGAAAAGAATGTCACCCCCTAAAGGGACTAAAAAATTTGTGAAGAATTTTATTAAACAAAAACTTAATATTCAAGCTGTACAATGTAGTCATATAAATATATACATTCAATACCCATTAGTGAAATAATATGAATAAGGAAGTCACATAAGAGGAGGTCAAGAGTTAGATCTTGTTGAAAAAAATTTAAACTACAAAATATGGGCAGTGGCATAGGTAGCTTCTTTGAATAAAGTTCACAGAATGAAACTAAAGCTAAAAAAATTTAGTATATAATGGATGAGATCAGCTATCTTTAGAAGCCCTCCACTTAAAGGATAGCATCTAGTTCCTATTTCCTTTCAGTAGGAGGACTCCTCTGGCATGTCAAACAAAGTCACAGCACTCCAATGGCCGTTTACTGTTCATTGACAATGCTTGATGTGCTATATGGATCTTGAGTCTCTTGTATTTATTCTGTGGTCTGAGGCTCGTAATTTGGCCCAATAAGAATGTCTAAGTGAAACAGATGGGAAAGCAAGCTTAATTATTTTATATTTGCATAAGAGTATGAATTTGTGTTCAGTCCTGTAGAAGAGGAAGAGTTTGTGTTGGTACTATAGGTGGGCAAATGGATAGGAAAGGAGTCTGCTATAGGTCTCATTTGGCTCAAAAGATCTTCTAAAAAGGACATACAAATTCTGGATCCTTCTGAGTTTTACCCCAGATCTTAGTTGTTTGAGCCATCTGATGAGAACAGAAGTCATTGTGTGGGGCTGGTGTTCCTGAAATGTTGCACAGATATAGGCACCTCTATATAGGAGACTGAGTTTTAGGGCTAATCCATGTGGCAGGCTGAGTAGGCTCAATGGTCACTTCGTCCAGTGGTAATCAATGCCAAGCTGCAGAGCACCAAGGGTCACAGTGCCCCGGAAGAAATTTTTATCATTTCTAGTTCTTAGAGTTCTCTTCAGAACAATTCCAGGAAAGGCAGGTAAGCTGGACAATGATTCAGAAATGATTCAAAACTTTGATTTCTAGAAAAACATCAGAAGCACCCATCCCATCACTGGGGCTTATCATTTTTACATAGTGTCACATACTCAAAAGGCCACTACTCCTGTAAAGAGATAAAGTAGTAACGAATGAGATGTGTAAAGGTAACATTTTCCAAATACCTTAGTGCTTAGAGCCACCCGGAGTCCATATGGGGAATCAGTCATGTAGCCTGTGGATTTTCCTACAGTCGTCTTTATTGGTACTATACTCCCACCTCGCTGAAATACCGGTATCTATAACAGAACAATACGCTCAGGGAAGGAGTATTCATAGAAAGCAATTTCAATGTAGAATCTAAAAATATTTCGTTGTACAAGACTCCCATTCTTTACAAGTAGACTCAAAGGTGAAAGAAATTTGTGAGCACACAGATGGAAAATATGGAAGCCATGGCATTAAAAGGAAAAGAGTTCCAAGACTAAAAAGTGGTCCATTTTTTAATTATCAGGGAAACTTCTTACCCTTCATCAATTTGTTATTTATTCTGCCTATCCTATCAGTAGTTCCTATTTTGTATTTTTAACTTTCTTGCCAACATAATACACGTGTTTATTTCTAGGGCCCTGCTAAGGAGTGAGTTTTTGTGCCTGTGTAAGTAGGCCCACATGTATGTATGTGTGCATATAAAATATTATAGTTTCTTGGTTTCAGGGAGATGACTCTGTCCTTACTACAGTCTACACTCTTCCTGCTCCCTGCTTCCCTGAATTACCAGGATGATGGACTCAATTTTGAGAGTAAGTTTGTGAAACTTCTGTTGTAGAGGCCGCCAAAGACACCTGAAGTGACTCTAACCACAGTGTTATAAGCATAGCCCATACCTATGGTTCTGGAATGGCATTCCCAGCAAAGAAAGCCCAGGAAATTTCCTGCATCCCCATACAATCCTCTGTAAGGAAGCTCTTTGGATCATATGGGGGCTTGTATTTCGCTCTGAGTACAAGAGGGAAGAAAGTACAAGAATATAAGTGAAGTTGGGAGTGACGGTGGAGTAGTTAAGATGTCCACCCTCTGACTCACAGTTGGTAGCAAGAAGTAAAGCACATTTATCTCCCCCTCATCAACCAATCACTTCTTCTTTTCCTTTTTCCCCAAAGACCGAGGTAGTAAGTTAGTAAAGAATGGGCTCTGAAGTGGGAGTGCAGCTGACCTGGGGTCTTATCTCAGTTCTGCCACAATCTAGCCACAGCCCTGGACAAGTAATTTAACCTCTCTGAACTCAGTTTCTTCACCTGTAAGCACGAGGGATTGGAGTAGATGAATGTTAAGGTCTCTTTTAGATCTGAAAGTTGACATCTGAAATCGTTTCATTATGGAGTTCATACTACTGATAACAGCTTTTAAAAAATAACGTCAATATATCTGTATTAATCCTAACACTACTTAGGGTCTGAAGTAGTGGTTGTGATTTAGTGGCAAGAGCAAACTTCCCTTCACAAGTTCAGTCTGGATGGGTCCCCTTGACTCTACCATCGTAACTGACAGCCTTCCCTTGGGCCTAGAGGGCCAGTGTTACAACTGAAAACTCATGTTTTGTGACTTGGTCCTGTAGGAGGACATTCTGTATGGTGTGTGTGGTGACTGCCATTTTTACTCCGTTTTCAGGGTTATTATTTTTCTTAGGCATACAAATGGAAATATATGGGGAAGAGCTGTTTGTCCTTGATGTTTCATACTGTGAAATCAGGCTATATGTTGATACTTTTATCTCACGTTTTCACGTCTTTATTGGTATAATTCACATGCCATACAACTCACCCATTTAAGGTGTACAATTAAATGTTTTTAATTAGAACACTAATGTCCTTGGTTCCTTCTATGTAGGCATATGGTATGGACTGAATGTGTCCCCCTAAAATTCATATGTTGAGCCCTAACCACCAATGTGACTATATTTGGAGATAGGCCTTGAATGAGGTAATTAAGGTTAAATGAGGTCAGAAAGTGGGGCCTTAACTGATAGGATTAGTGTCTATAAGAAGAGACATTAAGAGAGCTCACTCTCTCCCTCTGCCACGTGAGGACACAGACAGAAGGTGGCTGCTTACATGTCAGGAAGAGAGTCCTCACTAGGAAGTGAATTGTTGGCACCTTCATCTGGGACATCCAGAACTGTGAGAAAATAAACTTCTGTTGGTTAAGCCACTGTGTCTGTGGTATTTTATGGTGGCAGCCCAAGCAGACAGATATAACACAACAGGTAAAAATAACAGCCTGAAAATGACTTACGGTGTCTAAGGCTACCAGGATCTTCACAGTACGTGCCCCTTCCCAATGAGCAAATGTTTTACAGTCATACCAGACCTGGAAAGGAACAGACCCTAATGAAAAAGAGTATATGAGCAAGTCTGCTCACGATCCCATTATTCAGTAAAGCATTCATTTATCTGGATTTCAAATAACCGGAAGGCTAAAATAAGTATAATTAAAAAAAAAAAATCTTAAGTAGAAGTTAGCAAGAACATATGTTTTTAAGAAGACCCCAAAAGGACTAACCTAGTACTGTGATGGAAGTTCACTAAAAGGCCATTCATTTGTCTATCTGTCCATCCAAGTTATTTACCCAACAACCTACCACATGCCCAGCACTGCTAGGCACGCATGAGTGAGCGGAAAGACAGAGTTCCTGCCCTCATGGATTTTATAGTCTGGTTGTCTTAGAAACTTAATGTGTTTATAGTAAAAAAGATGATGGAAGAAAGAAAAAGCAGTAACAAGGAAGAAAAGCACATTGTGAGCAAATAAATTACAAATGAGGCAGGAGAAAAGGGAAGTGTCAGAGAAGGACACAGATCCAGGAGAAAGACAAATGGAAACTTGGATCGCTACTATAGTATCATTTTTTAGCCGAGTACAATTCAGGGATGAGGTTCAAATTCTTAATCTGGGGTACTGGTCAAGGCGGTTTAGTTGCTGAAGTACCAAGAAGGTCCTACAGAGTAATTTGATAGGACAAATCCTTAAGACATCACCAGCAGCAGCAGCAGCAGCAGCATGGAAACAAAAACCTCTTTTTCTCTCTTTTAGCCCAGTATGATTTCTGGCAGCCACAGTCTATTTCACAAGGTCACCTCCTGGGATTACCACATCCTTTGTAGAGCTGCCCTGTCCTGCGGTGAAGGTGAGACGGCTGTGGCCTGACCATGGTCAGTTCCAGTAAACTCTTAATTCAACAGGATCAACCCCACATTGTCTCCATGTATTATCTTTGGCTGGATCCAATTTGCTAATGTTTTGTCAAGGATTTCTGTGTCTGTGTTTATGGGAGATACTGTCTTAGCTTTCTTTGACAAATTCCAGTAGCTTCAGCTAGAGTAGTGGGAGTGAAAGGTAAAAAAATAAAACAAAAAAATGGACTTAAATAAGATTTTGGGATTACCTGTCTACCATTTCCAGAACTAATTAGAATAAGAGGTATATGTATAGGGTGTGTACTCTGGTGCTATCCACAAAGGTCCCCAGCCTTGCAAGAGTAAAACTGGTATAAACTACTATGTAGATCAGACCTAGTGCTCGGTCACCAAGCTCCTCAGCAAGTACTTACTGAAGGCCTACTACCTGTCAGGTACCCTTCTAGATGCTAGGGATAGAGAGTGAACATAACAGAGGAAAATCACTGCCCTTAAGAAGCTAACATTCTAATGGGAGAGAAAGATCATCAACAAAACATATCAGTAAATATCTAGAATGTTAAAGGTGTCAGGTTCTGTGGAAAAAATGAAGGATGAAGGGGGGCTGGACAGTACCGGGGCAGTGGGAATGGTCTGTAATCTTAACTAGGTGGTCAGAGAAGGCCTCACTGAGAAAAAGCTATTTGAGCAAAGACTTCAAATAGAGGGAATGGGCCATCTAGAAATATGGGGAAGAGTGACAACAAGGGACTGTTGTCCCTTGCACAGTGTGATGTGGGACTAGCTAACTGGTGAGGTAAAAATCTGGCAAGAAATGGCTTGGCTCATCTACCTAGGGTTTTGAAGATGTAGTGAGAGAAACAATCACAGAACACTCAGGGGAATAGTGTTGAAGAAATATGTTATACAGTCATTGCAGTGTGCTTGCAATGATGATAGGTCATTAATAAAATGTTTTTATTAAACAATTAATTAAAAATTAATTTGTGGCTACATCAGAAGGGGAGCTAGTTCCTCTTAATGGGAGCCTACTGCTTTGTTAAAATCGACTTGAGAAACTCTCAGTGAAGTGCTTGGCAGGACAATTTATTTAGCTGTTGTTGTATTTAACCTTTTTCTCAGGTTTTTACTTGGCGGGGGAACCTTTATAAAGAGCCCGCATCTTCAGAACTACAAATTACTGGAGAAACGAAGAGGAAAGAACATAATTGATGAACATTCTGGAGAAAAGCCTGGGTACTGTCATATCAATAAAGACAAGCGTAGTGGGCTGAAGTGGCCCCTCAAAAAGTTATACGCACTTCCTAATACTGGGAAGGAGTGAATATTACTTTCTATGGTAACAAATTTGATTAAATGAAGGATCTTGAGATTAGAAGATTATCTGGGATCATCCAGGTGGGTCCTCAACGTCATCACATCACCCACAAGAGAAACAGAAGAGGAGACATGGATGCACAGAGAAGAAGATGCGTGAAGACGGAGGCATACATTGGAGTGATGCGATGTGGCTGCAGAGCCAGGAACCACAAGGACTGTGGCAGCCGCCAGGAGCCAGGAGAGAGGCATGGAAGAGATTCTCCTTCAGGACTGCCAGAAGGAACCAAGCCTGCTGACACCCTGATTTGGGGCTTCGAGCCTCCAGAACTGGGAAAAGATACATTTGTGTTGTTTTAAGCCACCCGGTTTGTGGTAAGTTGTGACAGTGGCCTCAGGAAACTAGCCCAACAAGCAAACACACAAAGCTGGATGGACAGAGACCACTGGCACCGATGTACCACGGTATTGCCACGCCAGCACTTGACAGTCCTAAGCAGCAAGCATGGCCAGGCTCGGTGACCTCACCACCTGCCTAGACAGTCCAGGAATATATATATATATATATATATATATATTTTTTTTTAATTTAAACTTTAGTTAACGTATAGCGTAATATTGGTTTCAGGGGTAGAATTTAGTGATTCTCCACTTACATACAACACCCAGTGCTCATCACAGCAAGTGCCCTCCTTAATGCCCATCCTCCATCTAGCCCATCCCCCACCCACGTCCCTCCATGACCCCTCAGTTTGTTCTCTGTAGTTAAGTCTCTCATGGTTTGCTTCCCTCTCCCTCTTTTCCCCATCCCATATGTTCTTCTGTTTTATTTCTTAAATTCCACATATGAGTGAAATCATTTGCTATTTGTCTTTCTCTGACTGACTTATTTTGCTTAGCATAATACACTATAGTTCCATCCACGTCATTGAAAATGTCAAGATTTCAATTTTTTGATGGCTGAGTAATATTCCATTGTATATATATATATACCACATCTTCTTTATCTATTCATCTGCCAATGGACACCTGGGCTCTTTCCATAGGGTGGCTATCATGGACATTGCTACTATAAACACCGGGGTGCATGTGCCCCTTCAAATCACTACGTTTGTATCCTTTGGATAAATACCTAATAGTGCAGTAGGTGGGTCATAGGGTTGTTCTATTTTTAACTTTTTGAGGAGCCTCCATACTGTTTTCCAGAGTCAGTCCAGGAATATCTTGACATGGAGGTCTCACATCAGTTTGGTAACCTTCATGCCTCCTCCCCCTGCCTATAGAAGCCCGTGGTGATGCTCCAGTGCTCAAGGACTCTCTCTAGGATCTGTCTCCTCCTTGCTCCCCATTCCATACCCTCTTTTCCTGGTCTGGTGCCCCAAGTTTCTGCCCCGCCTCTTCTCCTGGCCCCTCTGCATATATCCTTGGTCTGTCCCTGGAGGCTGTTGCTGTTATTCTCCATGGCCCTCTGCTCTGCAGCCCAGGGGCTAATCCTACCTCTTCCTTGGGCCCTGCCTGGGTTCAATGCCCTGGGCTCCAGCAGTGCAGGATGATATTTTATACTGTGATAATAATCAATGACAATAACCAATAAAAGAGCTTGGAGGCTAGAGGAGCTTAAAGGAAAGTCACCACTGTTACTTTTTACCCACTTTGGTGAGTGTCTGGAGACCAGGTTTTGGTACCAAAAACTTAGAATTTAGATAGAGCCAGAAACAAAAAGCAAAGTCTTTTTTACTTATGCTTCCCCCCAGTGACTGATACTTCTTAGCAGACTAAAAATATCTTTCTGTGTTTACAAGGAGTCACTTACACAAGTCCAAGTGTGAAGGTAAAGAACCACGCTGACCTTCCTTGGTGTTCTCACCTATTCATCAATTTCTCCCCACTCTTCCATTGAGGTCATGACCTACAAGAATCTTCAGTTGCTACAGGCATTTGGGCTGTCTTCACAACTGCATGATGCAGAAATCTATTTCCCAACAGGGGCTAATTCATCAGAATGAAGGGAGGAGATAGGAGACATGCAAGATACGTGGCTGTTTGTCATATATTCTTACCTCATTTGATCCTGGCAGAAACACATCAACTGTGCTGGCTTTTGGTTCTGTGACTGGATGAACCAATAAAGCACTTCCTGAAAAACAGAAAAGAAATAAAGCTGACTATCATCCCAAGAGGTCTGAAAACATCCTTCTCCTTTCAGAGCTTCTGTGGTTTTAGAGACCACTCAACCATGAACTTGGCGAAAGTAGAGACCTTGGGTAGTTGAACCAGTGATTCATCAGAGAGACGCATTATTACAAAGAGGTCTGGTGCTCAAAACGGTGACTGTTTTATTACTTGTCATTCATCCACTTATGGCATATCAGGATAATAGGGAGGGACCCCGCCACGGTCTATCAGTTTCATTTGCACATAGCTGCTAGTGCGCCAGGAGTCTGAAAGAGCCATCGCATTTCTCCAGGTGCGTCATTGCCTGCTGTTAGTGATTTTGAAAACGGTGAGCCTACAACCGTTATCCAGAAGTGTGATCAGCATGGATAGGAGTATATCCACGGGCAGTTATCATTAGGAAGGCTGTAATTCTCTTAAAGGCAATCTGGATTATTAATTTTGACTGTGGCACCACATGTATGTAAATTTCATCCATTCATGAATTTACTCTTTAAAATTGTACAAATATTTACTGAGTTCCGGCTGAGTGCCAGGTATTATGCTAGGCTCTGGAGATATAGTGGCAAATAAGACAGTGTGCCTGTCCTCATGGAGTTTGCAGTCAGTAAAGACAGATATTATAATTTAATTAGAGTTATGACAAATACCAAAAAGGCAAAAGCACAAAATGGAATGAAAGTTATGTAATAAGAGGGACTGACTTTGACTATAGTTGGGCGTAATTAGCTATTAGAAGCAATTCTGGTCAGGGAAATGTTCTCTAAGGGACTAGCTATTTAAACTGAGACCTAAGAATGAGTGGAGAGGTAGCACTAGGCTTTTTACATTTTAGGATTTCTGCTTTTTAGAAATAGGATGCACCTTTTGGGCAACTCTCTGTTGAGCTTGGTTTCTTGAGTCCTATTCCCAAGATGATAAACCTCCATATCCTGGATTTGGTGGTCAACCCTTGTTAAAGAAGAGGCCGCCGCCACCACCACCACCACCACCAATAACTCTGTTTTGCCCATGAAGTAAGCTCTCTCAATCTTTACTGTAACCATCTGGTCTACTGTTTTCTACTTCCATTCCCTACAGGGGCATCATTAGGCTCAGGAGTGAACCCAGAACAAGAATCTCAAATTGTATCCACAAATAAGAATGGGTTTATGTGAAGTTAACAATATGAGAAGTACCACCTGACCACAGAAGAGAGCTATCAGTCCACTAATATACTAAAAATCTTAATGACAGAATTTTTTTGTTGTTGTTTTCTTGAGATTAGGGATTGATTTTTAGTGCTCTTACATTAGGAAATATAACAAAAACATAATTACAGTATTTATCATAATGATAATTAATCAAGAAATGCTCACCCAGCATATATTCATCTTCCACACCAAAAGTGTCTAGTTCCTCTGGGAACTCTATCCACAGAGGTCTGGGAAAAGAAAAAAAAAATTCTTATTTCAACATCATTAGATGTTTTATTACTATTAAATCACTTTTATTTTCAATTTTATAACTATTCACAGGAAACTGGAAAAGCCAAAAAGCCAAGATTCTTTTCATGATTTAAGATTTTATAAGCAATTGCTAGGATTAGTATCTTTTTCTAATGTTTAAGAGCTATCTACTTGCTGAAATGTTCCAATGACAGATTGAGAATTCTGGTACCTACAATTTTTCCTTCTGATTGTTGAGTACTAAATACTCTGAAGGCAGAATCAGAGCTCTGTACAAGTCTAAATGCCTAACACATTTGTTCCATAGAACAAATGCTTGTAAAACCATATTTTATAATGATATAAAATCTGTGCCATGTTTTCATGCTGTCACTGCCTTTCATGCATGCATCCTTAATCATTATCTATTTAAATGAAAAGAATTGGTTTTACTTGTTTTCAAGCAGGCAACATTTTTGGAGGGTTGAGAAACTGTTGTGTGGTTTTTTTTTTTATTATTATTGTTTTACACAACTATCTAGGAGGTATTTGGGTTTATGAAGATAGTAAAATCTCCATTATCTGTGCGTCTGGATATCAACTTAATGGTTCTAATATTTTTTTTCAACCTCATGAGTAAAGGATTTTTTTTTTTTAAAGATTTTATTTATTTATTTGAGAGAGAGAATGAGAGACAGAGAGCATGAGAGGGAGGAGGGTGAGAAGGAGAAGCAGACTCTCTGCTGAGCAGGGAGCCCGATGTGGGACTCGATCCCGGGACTCCAGGATCATGACCTGAGCCGAAGGCAGTCGCTTAACCAACTGAGCCCCCCAGGCGCCCGAGTAAAGGATATTTTTAAGAGAAACTTATTTTTAGTTTATTCACTAGCCTCCATAAAAATATATCACTTTCCTACTGAATAGTAACAAAGCAGTAGTCTCTATCTGGCTGATGTCTAGAATCATCAGGGAAACTTATAACAAATCTAGATCCTGACACCTACCCAAGGAGATTCCCTAGTAGGTCTGGGCGTGTGGCCTTGGAATCTATAGTTTTAAAAAGCTCCCCAGGTGATTCTTATCTGAGCCAGGTTTTAGGATCAGCTGATCTGGAAGCCTCAGTGTATTATGTGTCTCTGTATCATTCTCTAACCTAGAAAGTTGGTTTTTCACATTCTGCCTCTAAAATAGAATCAGAATGTAATTTATACTATGGGAAAAATGTTCACCTCAAACTTGGAATGGTTTAGCTCTAAGGTAAGATACAGCCTAAGACTGGCGGAATAAATTGTTCTTCATGAGAGGACTCTTGTGGATTAAGTAGCGAATTCAGTTAGTCACTTCCTTTTTCTTTGAAAAATCTGTCTCCTATCAAATATTGACACTTGAATCACAAAATAGCAGGGGATCTGGTTTTTCTGTGACCTCAACTCCTTGACCCTGCTCACAGTTGGTGCTCAGTAATCTGAAGGACATTTGACTAAAAACACATGGCTTTTCTCTTGAAATCACTGTGTAATTACTCCCTTCCCCAATGGCCGGGGATTTTCTGGTGTAGATTGGCTGCTGAAGCCTGTTTACCTCATGACGGGCTGAGCAGCCACATGTGCGCGGTAGAACAGAGAATACCAATAGGGCAGGAGGGTGTAGCGCTGCCGGATGGCTTCCCGGATAAGCCGGGTGTATTCCTCCCCAAAGAGCCAGGGTTCCCGCCGCTTGGTGTTCATGGTAGCGTGGCCACGGAAGAAGGGCTGGTAGGCTCCAGCCTGGTACCATCGCACTAGCAGCTCCGCCTCTGGATTCCCAATGAAGCCGCCTACATCAGCTGATTAGAAAGACAGAGGCCGAGTGAGGCAACCGGGCTTCTAACAAATGTGGCACCCAGGTAAGATAAGGGCTTGAAGACTGCCAGGACAAACATGCTGTGTGTGCACTCAAAGTGCCAGGACAACACTGTGGCCTGAAACTAGGGAGCACATATTTCAAAACTCAGCCTGTTTGGGGATCTGACAATATTCTCTTTGAATCCTCTTTCTCTTATCAAAAGTCCAAGGTTTTGGGGTGCCTGGGTGGCTCAGTCTGTTAAGCGTCTGCCTTCGGCTCAGGTCGTGATCCCAAGGTCCTGGGATCGAGCTCCGCATCAGGCTCCCTGCTCAGCGGGAAGCCTGCTTCTCCCTCTCCCACTCCCCCTGCTTGTGTTCCCTCTCTTGCTGTGTCTTTCTGTGTCAAATAAATACAATATTCAAAAAAAAAAAGTCACAGGCTTTACTACAAGATCAACATTTCTATATGTTCCCAAACCCAGAAATTGCAAAATGCTGACCTGATTCATTAAGTCTGTGTTTAGCCATGTGGTGGGGGTTGACAATTGATTTTTTTCTCTTTTCTTTTTCTTTCTTTCTTTCTTTCTTTCTTTCTTTCTTTCTTTCTTTCTTTCTTTCTTTCTTTCTTTCTTTCTTTCTTTTTCTCTCTCTCTCCTTCATTCATTCATTCATTCAAGATTTTATTTACTTGACAGAGAGAGCACAAGTAGGGGGAGCGGCAGGGAGAAGGAGAAGCA